GAGGATCGGTTTCATTTCATAGGCTTCCAAATAGTTTCTCTCCATGTCTTTTCTGTTTCTTTTCTATGCATATAATGCTAGTCCTTTTTTGGCCAGGTTAATGAATGTGAGTCCACGTCAGGTAGAATTGGAGAAATGATCTCCCTCGATTATGAACATGATCAAAAGCTTAGTTCTTTTCCTATTGTTCCTAGTGAATTTTTTGAAGATATGGAGTCTTCATGGAAGGGTCGTATAAAGAGAATCCATATCGAGGAAGCATTCGCAGAAGTGGAAAAGGCTGCTGAGGCTTTATCTTTAGCAGTAGGTCTCCATCACTTAACTTTGGCTGACATTGTTGCATGTCTCAACAAAATTATATAATGTCCTAGAAGAGGACACTGCATTACGATTTCAACATTTCTTTCCTATTTATAAGCATTTAAAATTTTGCAGGTTACTGAAGATTTCGTGCCCATTCTTTCTAGAATAAAAGCAACCACAGCTCCACTTGGAGGCCCAAAAGGAGAAGTATTATATGCGCGGGAGCACGAAGCTGTTTGGTTTAAGGGAAAACGGTTTGAGCCTGCTGTTTGGGCTGGTACCCCTGGTGAAAAACAAATTAAACAGCTTAAACCTGCTCTAGATTCAAAAGGTAGAAAAGTTGGAGAAGAGTGGTTTACCACAATGAAAGTGGAGGATGCTTTAACAAGGTGTGCCATTTTCCCTAATGCTATGGACGTACCTTTCATGCTGCTTCAATTTAACACACCTACTTGTTATTATCTTCTGTTAGTCTAGATATGTTTTGACTTCTGATGTTTAGTAAGGTTACCTTTTTTTCTTTTTTGTTTCCTGTTGTAGGTATCATGAGGCAGGTGCCAAGGCAAAAACAAGGGTATTGGAATTGTTGAGGGGACTTTCTTCTGATCTACAAGCGAAGATCAATATCCTTGTATTTTCCTCAATGCTTCTAGTTATTGCAAGGGCATTATTTGCTCATGTGAGGTTGGATATTTAAAACTTTAGTAAGCTTTTCAACATTACTCATGTTATCTGTAATAATAATCAATGGTGTCCTTCATCGAAAAATTTATAGTGATATCTCTGAATCAGTGGTGTCTAACTATTATTGTATTTTCATTTTCTGTGGTCAGTATTTTCATGCAGAGATATAATAATTGTTCTGATTTCAGCTTGTAAGAGCATACTGAGAGTCTGATACTATCGGAGTCTCGCTCATACCAGTTCTCAATTTATAAACTGAGCAGATAGGTGGCTTTCTGAAATATAAGAATTTTTTTATTTTATTTTATTTTATTTTATGGTTTATTAAACATTAATATACAATTTGATTCAGTTCTCTTTAGTTGTCTTAAGCATAAGTTACACAGATCTCCCATGTGGTTTCTTGAAAGTACAAAATTGCTTCTCCCTATTTTCAGATATTACTTTTACATTTATGTAATTCACTAAATCTCAGGAAGCTGGTGTTCTTTGCTAAAAGGAACATATGTTTGAAAGTTGTCATGGAAATTATTTGATGGGATAGGCTGGTTAACCAAAAGTCTGCCTAAATTAACTGAAGCTGTTGGCTGAGAACCGACCAACAAGAAGAACATCATCATGCTATGTTTTATGATACTTTAGTACCTATTTTTTGAATGACACATTTTGTATCTTTCCATGTTTCTATATTCACGTCTTTAGGACAGGAAATACTGTCCTGTTCAAATTTACCCCAGTCCCATAATGGTGTTTATTGTATCTTAATTCTGTGTAACTGATACATTGCAGTGAAGGGAGAAGAAGGAAATGGGTTTTTCCTACTCTTGGAGAGTCCTATAGGTCGAAGGTAGTATTCATTAAATCAATGTGCCCCTGAATCTACTAGGCTGGCAGCTCACCTATATTGATATATCCTTACCATGCCTTTTTTATTTGCAGTGGCTTATATATTAATGTGTTGGATGCAGGATGTAAAACCAGTAAATGGAGAAAATGGGATGAAGATAGTTGGTCTATCACCATACTGGTTGGATGTAGCAGAGGGAAGTGCTGTGAATAACACCGTTGATATGCTGTCATTGTTCCTTTTGACTGGACCGAATGGTGGTGGTAAATCAAGTTTGCTACGATCAATTTGTGCTGCTGCGTTACTTGGAATATGTGGATTTATGGTGCCTGCAGAGTCAGCCTTGATCCCTCATTTTGATTCTATTATGCTTCACATGAAATCTTATGACAGCCCTTCTGATGGGAAAAGTTCTTTTCAGGTATGGTATTATTATGTGCTATCTTAGTAATCAGTAAGTAATGTAGTAACTTTATGCTGGGTTCAGTTGCTCCTAATTAGCTAAGCTCTTCAAGCTTCATATTAATGCAGCAATTGGACATATGTCTTTTTGACAAAGGATAACCTACATGCCCTTTAACCTTTCCACTTCAAGCAGAGAGGACTCGAGCCCCTTAATTTTCTTTATGTATTCTTGTGGAATTTTATTATTAAGACTGCCTATGTAAATAAACCTTCTGTAATTCGTTTTCATTTATGGCTTTGTTTGGTAATTAAGACCTAAGTTCACCCTGTCTGTCTGTCTGTCTGTCTGTCTCTCTCTCTCTCTCTCTCTCTCTCTCTCTCTCTTGTGAGTGAATTAATCAAAAAGCAAAAGTCACCTTAGCATTTTGTTTGATTTGAGTCTTGTCAATTCCCTATACGTATATAGTCATTTGATTCCCATCTAGGCTGGCATCAGAACATTAGCTTAATGGGTGCATCGCTACACACTGTTCATCTTACTCAATTTCATTGTTTCAGGTAGAGATGTCAGAAATTCGGTCCATTGTTTCTGGAGCCACTAAAAGAAGTCTCGTACTTGTAGATGAAATTTGCCGAGGAACAGAAACAGCAAAGGGTACATGTATTGCTGGTAGTATTGTTGAAACTCTTGATACAATAGGTTGTCTTGGTATCATATCTACTCACCTGCATGGGATTTTTAGTTTGCCTCTTAATACAAAGAACACTGTATACAAAGCAATGGGAACTGTATATGTGGATGGCCAAACAAAACCAACCTGGAAGTTGATGCTTGCATTTGAAACAGCTAAGAAGGAAGGGATTCCTGAAATAATAATTGAAAGAGCTGAAGACCTGTATCATTCAGCTTACGCAAATGAGGTGCTTCTAGGAAAGAATGGCACAAAACTAGAACAGTTCTGTTCTACAGGTTTTAGCAGTTCTGATAAATCCCATCCTCAGTCGAGTAGTGGTAAAGTTGAAGCTGTCCATAAGACAGGATCAACAAACAGAATGGAAGTCTTGCAGAAGGAGGTTGAGAGTGCAGTCATTGTGATTTGCCGAAAGATGCTGATTGAGCTCTACGAGGAAAAAACATCAGAAGTTACTGATATACACTGTGTTCCAATTGGTGCCAGGGAACAGCCACCTCCATCAACCATAGGTGTTTCATGTGTATATGTGATTCTCAGACCTGATAGGAGACTGTATGTCGGACAGGTAATTTTCTGTTGACATGAATTATTTTCAGTTATTTGTGGTTTAACACTCAAAAAGTAGTCATGAAATCGAGGTTGGTCTATTAGGCCGTGCTGATAATGGTTTGTTTTCGTCATTGGCTGAAAAATTATGGCATTACGCCTGTTTATTATACGATTTTTGCTTATGCTAAATATGCCAATCTAATGCATCTGTGATTGTTCTCATAGACTGATGATCTAGAGGGCCGAGTCCATGCACATCGTTCAAAGGAAGGAATGCAGAACGCCAATTTCCTTTATTTCACTGTCCCAGGGAAGAGCTTGGCTTGCCAATTGGAGACTCTTCTCATCAACCAGCTCCCTTATCAAGGATTCCATCTGACCAATGTGGCTGATGGTAAACATAGGAATTTTGGCACATCCAATCTTGCCTTGGATGGTGTGGCAGTTTGTAGATAATTCTGCCGTTTCTTTTTGTACTAGGCGCTGTGGTAAGGGAAAGGGAGAGATGGTTGGCATTCCATTTAGCCTGTGTATGTATGTAGTAGTAGTGGCAGTGGCAGCAACAATTTTTGTTTTTGTTTATGTTGCTCCACTTGTCATGTTTGTCAGCCGAGTAGATGGAGGTGAAATTTTTCGGTACTTGTAAAATATTACATTTGTTATTTATCCGATTTTCTCCTTTTTACCAAAATCCGATGCTTCATATTTCGGGTTTGCTATATTAGTTTTTTTGGTACTGGGTTGCAATAACAACTTTTGGTGGTGACCATCTGCATAATAAATGCTAGGGTTGCGGTGGTGGAAATTGAATGGAGTTTGCTTATGATGAGGGTTTCTTGTGAGGAAAAAGTATATGTTCTTTGATTGTTAGTTCCTTCCAAATTTCCAGAAAGGTTGAGAAATAAATTGTAAGTGTTTAGGTGGGTGCTGCATTCAAAAACCAAAACCAGACTTCCTTCTCAAGAGAAATCCTCATCGTTAGAAACCCCGTTCAATTTCTCATAGCATGTTTGCTATCAATAGCACAAATACACAATTTCCCATGTGTGCATCTAATGGAGACGAACCTCACTTGGAAATATTGATGCATGATGAGCTCTAAAACTCTCTAGTTTTGTTAAAGTTGCAGGTTGCCTATATTCTGGCTCTATGGCCTTCTTGTGCGCATACTTTTTTTCCCATGCTATTTCAGACAGTTGGCTCTAACCTTCGTTCTAATACGTATAAATGGTTCCATTTTTGTCAACGCAATGGATTTTGTTTGAGAAAGAAAAGATACACTGCTGTCTCATTACTTTGGTTCTACTATAAACATTTTCATGTTGGTTTCCAGGAGCCACCATTGTTACATATATACAACCTACGACAAAAGTAGGCTCATCATCAAGCTCACTATATCTAGCAGTCAACCGATTCGGGAACTAAAGTTGTTGATTTGATCTGTTTCTGCCTTCCCAACAAAAAGAAAACATGTTTAATGTTAACCCAATGCAGCAGACTGACGGCAAAAGAAGCATCTACGCCAGAAGCCAGAAGTTCTTGTGGGTCTTTGTGTTGAGAAGGTAGCCTCCATTTTGGCCCTTTTTCTGAACTCCAACACATGTGCAGCTGCTTTTATCAATCAAATACTCTGCTGTGTCTATTGGTTTTGTCCCTCGCGTGGACCCTCCAGGCCTCCTGTATCTGTCAGAGTACACAATACAAGAAAGAATAAGCAAATCATTCAAGCTGAAATCTGTTTTCCCACAATAAATCTCAGTAACATTATCAATAACATCTTTGCTTAATTGGTGGTGAGCATTACCACCATAATAGCCTTTGAATGCGTTTAATTGTTGAGATTCATGTAGCATGTAGATTAACTCACATTCGTCCAAAGACAATTCACGTGACGGTAATGCTAACACTATTTGAACCTAAAACAAAAAATTCCGATGGCACTTCAAACTCACCCTAAGATTATAGTAGAAAGACTCCGTCGTTGCCCTATAATTAGGACATCGACCCCAAGAGCCTTGCTATGATCTAGAATAATGCTTGCTTTCTCTTTGCCTTCTATCAACGCCACCTTCTCTACGCGCACGCGTACTTTTGGTTTTGCAAGTTTGCATGCATTCTTCATTTCTTCAAGAAAGTCGGCGTGCCCTAAGCTGCCTTCTATGGACGCGGCGGCTGACCCTGAACTGCGGCTAGGTCTTCTAAGGAAAGTCGTTAGTGTGTTTCGCCACGAGTTAGGGTTTTCGACATTGAAGAGGATCAACTCGTCGTTCTCAAGAATTGCTTTAGAAAGTGCATATTGTAGGGCACCTGCTGACTCTTGGGTTGGATCTGCTACCACCATTACTCTCCGTCTACATCCACCTTCCATGGCCCACCGCTATCGCCACCACCATCAACCCCAACGACCAGCAAACCCCTTAGGGTTTTGCAATTAAGGGTAGGAAGTTTCTTGTTTATGCTTCTTATTAGGGGAGGCTGTTAGAACCATACCCGGGACCAGGTCAGTTGCCAGCAAAGATGTTTGAGGGAAACAGTTTCAAGTTGAGATTTCAGCTAAAAGTCTAATTCATAACCTTTTCTTCTTCCTTCCTTCCTTCCTTATTTTGTTTCAACAGAATCATATACATTTGATAATCCTCGTTGTTCTTTTACTGTTCTTGGCAGACTTTTAGATTTAATTAACAACTGAAAAAACGATTTTTTTTCATAATCAATTTGAACAAATCCATTGTTTAGTGTTACAACTTGGAATATATGTCACTTACTAAAAAAGAAAACTTGAAATATCTTTCACTTACTAAAAAAAGCCTTCAAACATCTCTCACTACTAACTCAAACAACCACCACCAAACCGCCTAAAAAATGAAGGGAAAAAATATATTTATGGCCCGTTGATATATATATATATATATATATATAATTTATTCTTTTATTTTCTTCAATTAATTCAAATGGGGAGAAGAAATAGGAAGGTAAAAGAAAAAACAGAATGCATAAAATTTAAATATAATATGTACTTTTTTAAAAAAAAAAATTAGATTTTATAGTCTGTTCATTCTACATATCTTACCTCCTCTCTCTCCCTCACCTTTACATTTCTTTTCTAACATTTTCCCCCATTTTCCTTCAGGATTGTTATTTATAACTAAGAAAAGGGAAAAAAGAACCTTATGGCCCGTTTGATAATGATAACCATTTCAATTTTAGTTTTAAGTTTTTAGTTTTCATTTTTTGTGTTATAGTATAGAGGAAAAAGAAGGAGAATGGAAAGTGAGATGGGAGGGAGGAGTAACAAAAGTGAAAACAAAATTTAAAACCTAAAATCTATTTGAAATTGTTTTCACTTTCGAGTTTTTGTTTTCACTTTTGTTATTCATCCCTCTCATCCTCCTCTCTCATCCTCTCTCTCAATCTCACCCTCATTTTCATTCTCCCTCTCATTTTCCTATATATTATAGCACACACAAAAAAAACTAAAAACTAAAATTGAAATGGTTATCAAATGAGCCCTTAAATTTATACCTTGTTGTAAGAAGAATATTCATATGAGTGTGACCAATGAATAATTCTAAGTTAAACTTTCTGATAATGAAGAGTAGAAAGAACCTGCTTTACTACATCATCATCCGCGCAGAGTTGTGGTGGACTCTAATTAATGTTATTAGGGAGAAAATAACGAGCTTTAGGGTCGTCAAAGTGGGCGTGCCGGAGTGGTTATCGGGCATGACTAGAAATCATGTGGGCTCTGCCCGCGCAGGTTCGAATCCTGCCGCTCACGTTTTTTACCTTTTTGTTTTTAAAACCTTACAAATATTCACATTAAACTACTAAAAAGACTAAAGTTTACTTTCACTTGAATCTATTAAGACTAATTGAGTTTACAAAAATATTCATTGGGTGTGTCTAGAGTTTTCGAACCTCAGTCCACATGAGGGGAGGTGGAAGAACTCAACCGACTAAACTATACCCTGCTACTAGCGATAACTCTAGTCAATTAAGCACTCAAGATTTTTCAGAATATCTCAACTTCAAAAAAATTAAATAAATAAATAAATTTACTACACGAATGGAGGGTGCTTTGGTTTGTCCTAATTTATGTAGGATATCTGACTGAAACAATCTTGAGTAGTTTTCCTAACTCAACCCGGATTGCTCAACTTTCAAAGTCCATTATATATACAAACTCTGCTTGCCTTCACTCTCTACAAAGCAAAACCCTTCTCTCTCCATCATCAAAACATTCACTCATAATTCTTTGATCAACACACAACGATGGCAAAACTGAATGTATACCACCGTCGCCACAAAAAGAAAAGAAGATCACCAAACTGGTCTGAGCTCCAGCCCGAACTCTTACGGCTGATCACGAACAATCTCTCTTTCGTCAACGTCCTTCAATTCAAAGCCGTTTGTTCTTCGTGGAAACACGCTGACTCTTCGTCTCATACTCCATGGCTCATGCTCCCTAGTAGTAGCAGTCGAGAAAACGACCAAAACAACCCTGACAGTGCAGCTCGTTGCTTCTACAGTCTTGAAGAACAAAAAGTTTACACCATCAAGAACGCGTTTCAGGGCTTTGATCATGAGGCTCGGTGCGTGGGTTCATCACATGGGTGGCTGGTCATTATGGACAGCAATGGAAACCCACATCTTTTAAACCCGTTTTCGCGACGTCAAATTCAGCTCCCGCTGATTTGGCCCTTTCCTCGCTTGACCGGTGATCTCTCCTTGGAAAGTTTACGGATGTGTGTTAGTATTGCCAAGGCTGTCCTCTCCTCCGACCCATCTCGGGACAACAACTTCGCTGTTGTGGTGATTTATGATTCTTTACCGTCAAAACTTTCATTTTGTAAGCATGGGGAGGAGGACAGCAGATGGACAGTCTTAAATGTGCGTAGAGAATATTGTGATATTATTTTTCACAATGAGCGGCTGTTTGCATTGGCTGGGGATGGCTCGGTTGAAGTCTGGGACTTCAACAACTCCTTTCCCATCAAAACCATCGACCTTCGTCAACCATTTGCAGAAATTGGAAACGTGGATATAGTGAAAGACTTTTCAAGGGGCATACATTCTACTCAGACTTATTTGGTGGAGTCTTTGGGTGAGATTTTGTTTGTGGGGAGAATCATTGAGAACTTTGTTAAGCATGAGGATATTGGTAAGGGGGATCTTCCTCGGGAGAGTGATTATATCTGTCCCTATAGAACTCTGCACTTTTACATTCTCAAATTGAACATCACTGCCAAAAAGTGGGAGAAAGTAGAATCATCGTTGCGCAATCGAGCTTTATTTTTGGGTGGAAATCAATCGATGTCAGTATTCACTCGGGATTTTCCAGAATTAGAAGAAAACTCAATTTACTTCACAGATGATCGTTGGGAGGAGATAAATTATGTGGAAGATTATGGTGGTCATGATGTTGGAGTTTACAACCTAGGAAATAAAATTGTGAAGACACTAGTACTTGATCAGTTTAATAAGTGGAGAGTTGATCCACCACCCTTTTGGATTGTTCCTAATCCATGGTGAAAAGTAGATAGTTTTCACGTATGTATGGGCATATGATGTTTTCATGTACTAGTTTATAGTTAAATGCACATCAAGCTTTTTTTAGCTGCCTTTTATGGTTGAAATCTTTGGGTTTCAACCCACTTTCGGTTTAATTTGAAAGTTTGGTGAAAAAGTTTAAGCGAATGTAGCACAATTGGATACGCAATAAGGTGAGCCCACTTTCAAGTGAATATTAAGACCAATTATTTTACATGAAGATATGCTTTTAGACAATCAAACCCACATGATTCATACTTAATTATAGAAACAAACTATGCCAGTGGGTATAGATCAGTTGGTTCTCTTCCATCTCAATTCATATGAGCAGAGGTACCCCAGACACCACGTTATTAATAGTGTAATCATGAATGGCGAGTGTTTTGGTTTGTCCAAATATATATAGGATTTGACTCTGGATTGCTCCACTTTTCAGTCCATTACATATACAAACTCTGCTTGCCTTCACTCTGTACAAAAGCAAAACCCTTCATCAAAACATGCATTCATAATTCATTGATCAACAAACAATGACGGCAAACTGGTCTGAGCTCCAGCCCGAACTCTTACGGCTGATCACGAACAATCTCTCTTTCGTCAACATCCTTCGATTCAGAGCCCGTTTGTTCTTCGTGGAATCACGCTGCAAAATCTTGTGCCACTTCATCATGTCCTCCTCCTCGAACCCCTAGTACTCCATGGCTCATGCTCCCTAGTAGTAGTGAAGAAAACGACCAAAACAACCCCGCCACTAGTGGAGCTCGTTGCTTCTACAGTCTTGAAGAACAAAAAGTCTACACCATCAAGAGCTCGTTTCAAGACTTTGATCATTCTGCTGCTTGGTGCGCGGGTTTATCACACGGGTGGCTGGTCATTAACAACAAAGCAAAGTCGCATCTTTTAAACCCATTTTCGCCACGTAAAATTCAGCTCCCCCTGATGCGGTTGCATATTGCCAAGGCTGTCCTCTCCTCCGACGCGACTCATGACAACAACTTCGCTGTTGTGGTAATTTATGGTTTTTTACCGTCAAAACTTGCATTTTATAAGCATGGGGAGGAGGACAGCAGAATCAGATGGGGCAGACTTAAATGGTGTGCATAGAGAATATTGTGATGTTATTTTTCAAAATGAGCAGTTGTTTGCATTGGCTGGGGATGGCTCGGTTGAAGTTGGGACTTCAACAAGTCCTTTCCCATCAAAACCATTGATCTTCCTCAACCGTCTGCAGAGATTGAAAAGGCGGATATAATGCAAGACTTTTCCATTTACAAGTATTCTACTCAGAATTATCTGGTGGAGTCATTGGGTGAGATTTGGTATGTGGGGAGAGTGATAGGGAACTTTGTTAATCATGAGGGCATAGTCATTGGTCAGGGGAATCTTCCTGAGGGGTTTGCTGTTATTTGTCCCTATAGAACTCTGCGGTTTTACGTCCTAAAGTTGAACATCACTGCCAAAAGGTGGGAAAAAGTAGAATCATCCCTGCGCAATTGAGCTTTGTTTTTGGGCGGAAATCAATCGTTGTCAGTGTCCCCTAGGGATTTTCCAGAATTGGAAGAAACTCAATTTACTTCACAGATGATCGTTGGAGGAATATAAATTTCCAATTAGACTCTGCTGAGGATGGTTATGGTGGTCATGATAATGGAGTTTACAACATAGGAAATAAAGTTGTGAAGCCATTTGATCAGCTTGATAAGTGGAAAATTGATCCACCGCCCCTTTGGATTGTTCCTAATCCATGATGAGAGGCAGATAGGAGGACAGAATATGATCGTGTTATATTTTCATGTACCATATAGTGGTTGGATTTGTTCCATCTAAAGGTGAAACACTTCTTTCTTTTATGTAACTGATCTCATTTTACAAATTAAGTCAGAAAAGCCCAAGTTTTTTAATAGAACGTAGCAATTGGATACACAATAAGGTAAACCAACTTTCAGATTAAGACCAATGCTTTTACATGAAGACATTCTTTGAGAGACTACTTGGTATAGTATCCAATCCACATGGAAGGCCACACATAATATTCATACCTAAAATAGAAATAAACTATGCAACATCACCATGTAAATTTCATTCTTGTTTGCCAATCCTATCCAAATCCAAACTTCCTATGACTTTTTAGGCCACAATAATTGGATGCCTAGAATGAAAAGCATTAGCCAAAAAGCTCAACTAGCTAGAAAGTGGCAAATTTGTCAATTAGTTACCCTTATGCCACCAATCAAGAATCTTATTACAAAATGTATAAATGAATAGTTGAAGCATTAAAATTACTGGAAAATAGGCACAGTGACTAACAGAATATGGTATGCTTGCCCACCAAGCATAACCATAGAGAGAAAATGAACTCCAAAACAAGAGCTTGAATTCTGAAAATAATCTATATGTGGGAAGGTGAGCTTACAAGTCAATATTTATTCATCCAATCCAACTTTCTAGCTTGTAGCGCAATCAAACAGCAACAGGATATATAAAACTAGAAGCCAATCATTTCTACGCTCTCCAGAAACCCTGATTCCATAATTCAGATAGGGCAAGCAAAATCTCAAGCAGCTGCTGACTATTGGTTCAGAAGTAGCTGGCAAACTAGACATCAAACTCAAGAGACGCTTCTACCGTAGGCAAGATTAATTCATGCAACAAAATGTCACAACCCTTCCATTGTGAGTGATTTCATCTGACTAGAATAATGGAGGTTGGCCATTGGTGACCAGTCATCTTGTTACAAACAATATTTACATATTATATTTCCTTCAGATTTTATAATGGAATGCGCAAGAGACGCAACAGCATTAGCAGTTGTGTGCGACAGTGAAATACACAAACTGTTTGCAGATACCAACCTGCAGCTTTATCAGCTTTTGGCGTTCAATTTCTCTAAAAGAATCTTGTTTAGGAGCCCCGGATTTGCTTTTCCTTTTGATAGTTTCATTACCTGCATGAGGTTAAAATGCAAAACCATTTCACTGAAGTATAAAAGACGTTATGTTATTAATAGCATAATCATGAACGGAAAAGGAAGCATAGGGGGGATAAAAAAAAATATACCAGTTAAAGTTTGAAAGATTTTACCTGGCCAGCAAAATAACCTTGCAGCTTAGTTTTTCCCCCACGATATTGTTCCAGCTGCTTGGGATTCTCGGACAACACCTTTTCTACCCATTTTTCAATCTCAGCAGGATCTACTATCTGTTATAACCAAAGAAATTAGAGAACCCTTAATTTATTGGTAAATTCTGTATTCTTATCATCATAAGATGATGTTGTTTCATTTTGATTGGCGGCTAAAGTAAACTCTGTATAATATCATCTAGCAAAACTACTATCTGATTGGACATTTATTAAGTAAAGAATTTAACAAAGTCAATCATCTATTAAAGGGGGGCAGGAAGTATTGTATTGTCTTTTTGAACAAAAGGTTAGATTTCCATTATTACCATTGTAATAATTCTGTACACTCACTTTTAACACAAACAAAGTATTGGGCATACTCAGAAATAAAAAGTTCTCTCTTGATGTCTCAAACTATACATCTTGGGACATCTCAAATAAGATACAAAACCATCAATTTTTAAAAGAGGAAATAATCTAGCATGTTACTTTAGGAACAGTCAATCAGATCAAGTTAGTGACCATCGCATATCTTGTTGAAATAATTGCCATAAAAGTTTAAATGCGCAGACAGAAAAACTATTTGAAAGAATCACATCTACACATCTGAAAATTTAAAAATAATTATATCTTATTAGAGTCTGGCAACAAACTGAACAACTTGCCTGAACTAAATCTTTTGCTTCTATCAGTCCCTTCACAGTACCACCCTTGGCTAGAAGCTCAAACAATATCTGCAAATTCTATTGATCTTAGAAACGAATAAAATTGTAAAACTAGTCCAGAAAAAGAAAAAAAAGAAGTACCTCTTTTCCTATCTTCCCACTAATGGTCCCATCTTTTATGGAAGCTATTAATTCAGCCAACTCTTGAGGAGTAAGCTTAATCTCATTGATGGTCAACTTTTCATTTTTCATATAGGCAGCAATATCTCCCATTATCCAGTTGGTAGCTAGCTTCACATCAGCACCTTTTGTAATAGTAGTATCAAAAAACTCTGCAACCTAAGATAGACAGTAAACAATGAGCCACTTTCAGGTCATTCAACATTATACTATCTAGGAAAACATCAACTAGTTGTACTTGAATATCAACACTAAGAACTTCAAGGAAACATTTATAGACACTAAAAACTTCAGGATTACATCTCACAGTAAGAGACTGAGTGACACTGAAAAGACAGATGCCCATCCAATGAACGCCATATACAATATTCGTCTTGCAAGTAGACAAACACACACTTTTCTTTCGTCCTTTCATTCTTTATTTCTTTGTGTGAAATGCAGTTTCAGTTGCATGACCTTGGGAAGTTTATTTTACATTGAATATTTCTGTAACAAATATCTCTAGGGATAGGGAACTATCCGACAATGTTGTCTTATCCATATTTTCTTAGCCACTATGTCAAATCTACAAACAACAGTTGAAGTCAGTCATAAATTTCAACTTATGTTTCATTCCTTTTCTTCCAAATTCCAGAACAATTGAGCAATTCCCAAACAGAGGTTTAGGGAGAGGACAATAAGACAGGCAGAGGACTTACATTCATGTCATTTGCAAGGAAAAGAACATCCTGCATGCTCAGGCCCATCTTTTCATACCTCCGACGCTTCGTTTCTGGAAGTTCAGGCAAAGAATTACGAATACCATCAACATAGTCTGTAGTGAGGAAAACTCCAGGAAGGTCTGGTTCTGGGAAATATCGGTAATCGGCAAGTCCTTCTTTCTTCCTCATTGTAACTGTTTTCTGGTATAAAAAAAGTAAACAGAACATGTAAATAGACACCAAGGGACCATGTAAGCCATATATATCCAGTTGTTCGACTAGACGATTAAGGTACAATCACCTGAGCTCCTTCTTCCCATAGACGAGTTTCCTGTACAATTTCTTTATCCTGGCCTTGACTATGAAGAAGCACCTGCCTTGAGATTTCATAATCAATTGCCCTACTAACCGATGAAAATGAGTTCAAATTTTTTATCTCCACCTGCCAATAAGTAATATAGGAAGCATTAAATCAGTCTCAAAAAGTGATATATAATTGTATTCTAGATACAATCATTACAGTTGACTGGTGAGAGGGTGCATATGTGCTATAACAAATGGATTTCTTATTCCAATATATACAGAGGCTTAATATAACCAATTTTATAGTGCATTTCTTTGAATACAAGAATACATGTTTCTATATCTAATTATGTCATTCAGGCGAGATCTTGGTCAAGTACAAAATGCTTTCTTTCTGAGAAAACGCCACCAAAAGCCAACAATAAAATAACATTGTCTGAAAATTAACAATCTAATTTAACATGATATTGCAGTGGTTGTAACAAACATAATATTGCAATGATCATCCCAAACATCAACAACTCCAACAACTAATAAATGACAAGTTCACATGTAAGGATCATAGATTTATGTCATCCTTAGTTTTCTTTTTATTGCTTTCTTTACTCTGTTTTAAAAGAATTTCTCTTTATACTCGATTTCTAGTTGCTAACAACACAACAAATGTGTAAGTAAACAAAAGTTACTTACCTTCGTCCCAAACTGTAATTGCCCAATTGGTCGAACTGAAATATTAACATCACAACGAAGTGAACCTTCTTGCATATTGCCATTACTCACTCCCAGATACCGAACCAACCTCTGTAACTCTGCAGCATATTCTGCAGCTTCAATACCATTTCTCATATCAGGTTCAGAAACAATCTCAAGCAAAGGCACCCCTGCTCTATTTAAATCAACCTGCATAACAGAAACAAACAGTATCTAGGAGTCTAAGAAAGGTGATAGAGAATTAACCTCAGCCGCTGATAATCTTTTATAACTTATGAGAAGTAAAATTTACTCACTCCACTCCATTGTAAATTCAATGTACTTACAAAACTGAATTTACACACAAATCATAATACCATACTAAATCTGATTGAGCCTTTAAATAGTAAAACCAAAAATAGAAGAAACCATAAAACGGCAAAGAGAACCAGAATGTAGTTCACTCTTTTATAACTTATAAGAAGTAGAACAATGTTGATGGTAAGAACAAAGAGGAAGGTACTTTCCTGCGAGTAACTTCCACCTTCTGAATGAAGCAGCTTCCCTGCATCCTCTTCCATGTGAACTCTTGTAATGCCAAACTTCCTATGCCCACCACCAAACTCTAGCGGAAGATCCAAGTCAATGTAACCACTGGTTGCAATTGGAACGTCAAACTGCGATATTTGGTATCCCTTCGGAAGGTCTGGGTAAAAGTATTGTTTCCTATCAAACTTTGAGTTCAATGATAATTTGCAATTGAGTGCAAGTCCCACTTTCACTGCAGACTCAATGACCTTCAAGTTCAAAACTGGTAAAGCTCCAGGCAGACCCATACAAATGGGGCAGACGCTGGTGTTTGGAGGAGAGCCATAATTATAAGGACAACTACAGAAGGCCTTGGTAAGAGTGTTGAGCTGGACATGGGTTTCGATACCTATGACTGCTTCATAGTCCTTTGCGGCTTTCTCAAGTGCTTTGCTCTGGGTACTATGTGGCGAAACTTTCACTTGTGGCTTGACCTTTTCTTGTGTTGCCATCTGGGTTTGTGCGCTTCTCATTGTGCAATACAAAATGACATCTTTTCTT